CATTCAAGAACCATTCTTAAGAAGAAATTTCTTCTTAAAACTAAGAAGAACAGAATCTACACACACTCAAGGGCACAAAGGTGCTGTGCTTTAAGAACACGTCATGAATCTGATGTAGACTTCTTCTTAGGACTTTTCTCACAAACACATTTAAGAAAACACTTCTAAAGATATTGGTGAATGAGGCCCTCAGATGCCTCTTTCAAGTAAACTGTAAAACCGTTTAAACTGCTTTATGTATCGATGCTTTAAATGAATACAATAATTAAATGAACAGTAATTACATAATGCATATTTTGAACATAGTACTCAACATTATTTTAATTCATTGATATAATTTATGTTCCGTTTTTAATAATGTCCATTTTATCGGCTCCACTTACTACATAGGTGCACTTTGTAGTTCTACAGTTACAGACTGTAGTCCATCTGTTTCTCTGCATACTTTGTTAGCCCCCTTTTACCCTGTTCTTCAGTGGTCAGGACCCCCACAGGACCACCACAGAGCAGGTATTATTTGAAAGATGGATCTTTCTCAGCACTGCAGTAACACTGATATGGTGGTGTTGTGTTAGTGTGTGTTGCGCTGGTATGAGTGGATCAGACATAGCAGTGCTGCTGAAGTTTTTAACACTATGTCCACTCACTGTCCACTCTATTAGACACACCTATTCTGTTGGTCCCTCTTGTAGATGTAAAGTCAGAGACGGTAGCTCATCTGTTGTTGTACTGTTTGTGTTGGTCATCCTTTAGTCCTTCATCACCACAGGACGCTGAGATACTTAAAAACTCCAGTAAAAAATACAATTTAGGCCAAAATCTTCTCTCAAAATGGTTGTAAAACAATGTCTCAGGCATCAGGAAGCATATTATATGTAAGAGCTCTCTGTGAGGGAGCTTTTAGAGACATCTGGTTCCTATTCTGATATTTTCTGACTCTAGAGTGCATTTGATATCAGATCACTTTCAAATGATGTTTGCATCTTACCAATGTGATTATGACATTTGGAAAATAGGTGCAAATCACCAACAAGATAAAAATAAGTTATCATTACCATTAGATTACCATTCCATCCAGCCTTATGCAAAAGATTGGGTGCCTAAGTCCAATCACTGTTTTATGTTTTGTTGATTTTCTAAGTGAAAATAAGTGAACACATCCTCTACAGAGAACACACTTCTGCACATTTTAATGCACAATTACTGTTTACAATTACTGTGTTTTACTGAATTTAACATGTTGGGGAAAAAATAAAACAAGCCCTGTGCAAAAGTTACGGCACATGTTACATCTGAGGTTTTATTTTGTCCAATATGTTAAACAGAGCAAATTAATAGATATTGTGTGCTACAATTAGCAGAAAAGGCTATATTTAAGTGTGCTGTCTGTAGAGGATGTGACTTATTTTCACTTAGAAAATCAACAAAACATGGAATTTGACTATGGTTTCCAGGTTTAACGACATGTTTAATCAGTGCGGTGCACATCGGGCTTTGGGGTGCATTTTCTCTGTTTTGATGAGTGTGGCAGAGGTGTTAGCCAGTCAGCAGCAACGTGCATATAAACACCACTGTATTAAAGTGAATGTAAGTGTTTGTGATGCTCTGCTCTTTGGGTTCTTTTATTTTGAAGGGCAGGGCTAGGTTTTTGTTGTGTGTGCTTATAGCAAGTTTCAGAGAGCCTAGGAGTAAAACAGACTGATCCTAGCCAGCTTTCTGTTCGAGCTGAGAGCTTGCCATAGATCTGTTTTCTATTTTCTGTATGCTGTTTTTGAGTTAGGCCAAGTAAAGCTGAGATATAGACCAGAACCTTGACTCGTCTAAGTTTCTTTTGAGAACCCCTTATACTACAATTATGATTTCACTACACAACAATATTTGACCAATTAGTGCTTTTTATTTTCTTTTAAAAACACACAGAACACACCAGACAAAAGAGTAACAGGATGATCTCATGGTCCACAATGTCTACTGACTCTGTACTGGCTCTACCTAATAAGTGACATAAGCAGCTACTTGCTCCCCAAACCCCCCAACAACTTCTGGATTATTACTGTACCATTATGTTGTCTAAGATGTTCTGTGGGGAAAAAATTGCAAACGGTGGATAGTGTTTAGGGCAATGAGTCCCAAACACTATACCTTTGACATGTCCTTATAAAAAAAAACTATGCTTTTACCATGGTTTACCATAGTATCCATGTTTTTTTGATGGAAAGAAAACTATGGTGTGATTACCGTGGTATCTATACCATGGTTTTACCATGGTATCCATAGTTTTCTGGCAGAAAGAAAACTATTGTATGGTTACTATGGTATCGCTAGCAAGGTATCCATTGTTTTTTGGTGAAATTGCATGGTTACTATGGTATCTTTGCTTCTATTGCTAAACCATGGTTATACCACTATGATTTAACCACTGTTACTATATTATCGTAGTACCTCTACGATTGTATTGTACTCTACTTCATTGTTGAAATTATGGCAGTATAACAATATCAACATAGTTACCATAAATACCATAGTAGATCACTTTAGGTTCATGTTTAACTATACTAGCCATAGTTACCCTAAACCACTATAGTAAAACCATGGCGAAATCATAGTGTAAAGATAGTGACCCTGAGGCACCATAGTAGTTCATGGTAGATTCATGGTTACTGTGTTCTAACCATAGTGACTATTAAGTTTTTGTAAAGGAAAACTTCATTAGTGTTTAGAAATACAGGCTCTACTTTCAGGATAAATTAAACAACTATCATACTGCCTCGTGAAACTGGCATAGAAGGTGTAGGAAGGGATTTGAGTAGTTTTTGTTTGTGGTCAAGATGTTAACAGGTTAATTTGTGTAAATTAAATAAAATGGTAAAATAAACAATAATGCAGTTATAACTCACATCTTTATTTCCAGCAAAAATCAGTGAGCAGGCGCTGTGTTCATGTGGGTGATGAGTTTGATAAAGGAAGTTATCTTTATTTGTGTGAGCTGTAAGTACATGTGCTCTTAAAGAAAGAACTACTGTTTTCTACAGTATCCTTTATAGCTAAGGCTTCAAAATGTTTCACTGCCAATCCTGAGCTGTACTTTTTCTCAGTACCTTCTTGTGAACTGCAAAACAAAGGTGGGTGTGGCTTAAGCCAGAAATGAGAGTTCGGTGCTGGACGGGGGTATATATGTACTGACCACAACAGACTGCAGACGAAGCCTGAAGAACTGTCATTAATTAGAAGCATATGGAATGTACTTCAACCAGCCAATCAGCAGGCTAGGTTTTAAACAAACATGCTTATTGGCTCACTAATGCTGATAAGATGACTAGGTACTGAATTTGGTATTGAATTGCAGAACTTTTTGAATAGTATTGAAGTCATTTAGTCAGTACAATACAAGTTTACATTTTGCTTACATGACACATCAGATACAGAAGTTCCAGACCTTAGAATTAAGTAACTGTATTAATTATTATTTTACTTGTCATACAATTACATATTTATGCTTTTTTATTGTTGAATTAATCACAGAAACAATAAGTTAAATGAAGGTTTATTTCAGTCAGTCTGCTAATTAAGTGACACTTGAATTTAGAGTGAATTCTCCTCATTTCTTCAGTTCAAATACTGAACAAAAGTACATTGTACCCTATTAATCTTTAGGCAGTTTATTAACAATTGTTATTAACAATAACAGAGTGTGGCTGAGCAAGAAAAGTCAAAACAGGAAAATGACATAATACACAGTTTCTAAACAGTAATAATATTTATTTTCCTCCAATAAGACATGAATCACTGAGAGAGGAGCAGCAGAGTGTTAAGATAAAGAGGATGGAGGAGATCAGAGGAACCAGCATGATGAGGAGACTCAGCTTAACCCCCTCAGCACTGTTACACAGATCATTGTTACACAGATCCCCCTCACAGCACTTTGCTGTTACTCTTACTTCTGCTGTTATCTTTGCAAATAAATTGTGCAAAGTTTGCCGGCTTTTTGCGAGACCACAGTTCATCCTTTCTGCACATCCTTTCATAGTCATATTCTGGCCCTTTTCTTGATCTGAGAGAGAGAGAGAGAGAGAGAGAGAGAGAGAGAGAGAGAGAGAAGGGAGTAAGAAGGTTAGTGAGCTGATAACCTGTCACAGATATTCACTGAAACACTGAAATAAAAAGTGAATATAGATTTACTCCATTCATGCGTTAAGGTAAAATATTTTTGTAATATATTCTCGTTGAAATGAAAATTATCAAAAATTGGTCTATCATGTATGATAGGAACAAAATTGTTGGAACAAAATTGATTACATGTTAGTGTCAAACATATATTGGAACTGTTCTGCTTAACATGATGGTCCAGTCTTGAAACACATTACTGAACTCTTGTCCTTTCACGTGTGAACAAACACTTGGTTTTTGTACACCTGATGTTATTTTTTACATACATATTAAAAGACCTTTTTACATATATATAAAGCCTTTTTCTGATGAATTACAAAGAGGCACATATATGTATATGAAGATGTGAGCTCTTAACTTTGATTGATCCAACTCAATACTTCAACTCAGTTTAAACCTGATCTCATAAAGAACATGTAGGAGTTATGCTGTAGTCTTAGATGAGGTTGAGCTTTATTGCTTACAGGTTGCAGTTATACAGCGATCTTCACCCATTTCACAATCCACAGGTTTAGGACGACATGTCTTCGCCTCACACTTGTAATACTTAAGAGCTGTGGAAGCCTGTAAAGCTTTACAGATAAATAAACAAACAAATGGAAATGTCATCATACTGAACATAATGAAAAATTGGACATGCTGTTCTACTCCTTTCACAGGATGACAGACAGAGAGCAAA